GCATACGCAAAAAAACCGGAAACAATAGAGCACATTTTCACATCATGTGTATACTCTAGCAAATTTAGGGACAGATTGTGGATTTTGATGGAACAGTGTTGCAAATGATATCTAAAAAACGACAAGAAACTTCAAATACTGCTCTTGGCATAATCACTTCAAGTAAGGAAATAAATCCAGTCCTAGTGAACTTCCTGTTATCAGTCACGAGACATGTGGTGTATATTACAAGAAATACCGTATTTTCGCGACTATAAGGCGCATATAAACGTCTTTTCCCTCAAAATGTGCGGCGCGCCCTATAGTGCGGTGCGCCCTATGTGTGTTGTTACTGCGGACATTGTTGAGACCACCATGAGAACGTTAAAGGGGGAAGTGTGGGCGTGGATTGTGTGGCAAAGAGACACGGCTATGAAGCAGAGTTTAAACTGAAGGCTATCAGCTACGCAGAGGAACATGGAAATCGAGCAGGCGCGAGAGAATTCAAGATTAATGAATTGATGGTTCGCAAGTGGAGCAAGATGGAAAACGAACTCTGACAGGTGAAGAAGAAGCAGCGGAGTTTCCACGGACATAAGGCGAGGTGGCCCGAGTTGGAGGAAAGACTCTAGCGGTGAATCATCGAGCAAAGAACGAGTGGGGAGAGCGTTTCGACGGTCACTGTTCGACTAAAAGCAGTAACCCTAGCGAAGGAAATGAAAATTGAACATTTTCAAAGGAGGTCCGTCGTGGTGCTTTCATTTTATGAAACGGTGCCACTTTTCCATCCGGGCCAGGACTAGAGTAGCGCAGATGCTGGCGAGCTTCCACTCCTACTGCAGCAAACACATCGCCGACAAACGCATCTAGCCAAGCCACATCACCAACACGGACGAGGTGCCGCTCACTTTCGACATCCCGGTGAATCACACGGTGGAGAAGAATGGGACCAGCACGGTAGCGATACACACAACAGGGAATGAAAAGGCATTGTTTACTTTTGTGCTTGGCTGCCACGCAAATGGACAGAAACTGCCGCCTATGGTGATTTTTAAGAGAAAGACTTTGCCTAAAGAGACTTTTCCAGCTGGAGTCGTTAAGGCAAATGAAAAGGGCTGGATGGATGAGGAGATGATGAAAGAGTGGCTGAGGGAGGTTTATGTAAGGAGACCAGGTGTTTTTTTCCACGCATCACCATCGCTGTTAATCTGTGACTCCATGCGTGCCCATTTCACAGCCAATGTGAAAAACGAGGTGAAACAAATTAACGCTGTGCTTGCTGTTATTCCGGGAGGTCTGACAAATTAACTTCAACCGCTCGACATAGGTGTGAACTGGCCGTTCAAAGTAAGGCTGCGAGCGGCGTGGGAGCAATGGATGACCGACGGAGACCACAGTTTCACGAAAAGTGGAAGGAAGCGCCGGGCAAGTTACGCCACTGTTTGCGGATGGATTGTAGATGCTTGGGCTAACGTGTCTGCTGGCACTGTTGTTAGAGCTTTCGCAAAAGCCGGCATCATTTCCGAGGAGCCGCACGAAAGTGACTCTGACAGCGAAGAAGGGAAAATTGGCATGTCTGATTTAGCGCAGCTGGTTAATTCAGAAACAGAGGATGATGACTTCGTTTGATTAATACTTTGTAATAAATACATGAATAAATCACAAACATACTCAGTTTGGATCCCGCTCTATTTTTAAATAGGCAGTAGAGGGATTTAAACGTAGTAGAGGATATGTACCGGTATATAAAACCTGCGCCCTATAATCCGGTGCGCCTTATGTGTGTGTTAAATACAGTAATGGCACACATAACTGAGACTGCGCCTTTTAGTATGGTGTGCCTTATGGTCGTTAAAATACGGTAATATATTGTTTGGAAGTAGTCGCATCGATATGTGGATGTTTTTTTATAAATCTAATTAGGTTTTATTTGAGATCCTATTTTCAGTTTAGGAATGATTTATCTTTGAAACATTTTGTCAGGAAAAACAATTCAATAATTGATAAACAGAAATTGCATTTTGATTTCTAATAATGATTGCGTGTAGCTGTGGGTTAATGGATGTGTGAGCATGAATGTATGCAGGTGTGTGTGCGTGCGTGTGTGTGTATGAGTGGGTATATATATATGCACATATTCATTTTGTTTTATTGTGATTAAAAAGAATTTATACAATATACGTAATTTTATTATGACATTTTCTAATAATAAAAATATATATATTTAAAAAGCCTGTGTGCTTATTTAATTCTCGTCTGATCTCGGAAGCTAAGCGAGAGACCACCTGGGAATACCAGGTGCTGTAAGCTTTTGGAGTTTAATTGTACTTTGCGGCTCCCCTTAGTTTGCTGCGGATTACAAATTACTTAGTCATAAAAATGAGCAGCCCCCCGCTTAGGGTCCCACATTTTATTGTGGACCCAGCAGACCATTTTCCGCCTGTTCACTCGGGTGTGAATAGCCCGTTTACCAGCCAATTTAATGCTTACGGCTACCAGCCTGTGTGCGCCCGATCTCGGAGAGTCCCCGATTGCTTAATCTGATTACCGCAGCCGTGCAGGAGGTGAGCTACCTTTGCTTATTATTATTTCTTTTTGTATTTTCTTATGGGGCGGCACGGTGGTGTGGTGGTTAGCATTGTCCCCCTCCCAGCAAGAGGGTTCTGGGTTCAACTTTTGCATAATTTAATGGTAAAAACTTTGCTCAAAATCCTATTGTACACAATCAGATACACCGCTTATTCCATCAGGGAATAAGCGGTATTGATAATGGAATGGATATTTACTTATAGAATTATACAGAAAATATTAATGTTTTTTGGGTGTATTTCATCCCTCCCCACCAGCTTAACATGTGGGGAGGCTTTTTTGTTATCTTTTTTTTTCAGAAGGGACACTACGGATTTGAACATGGACCGGCAAAAGGAAAAAGAGTGGAAAAACGAACAGGATGGTAAACAATAAAATGACGGTAAAAGACATCAAGTATGACAAGAAGTTGACTTGGCAGGAAAATGTATCAGTTGTACTAATAAAAACAATTTGGCTATTGTGCGGATGCATTGTTGGGTGTCGACCTTTAGGACCAAAATCTTTTGAGATTACTTTAAGCAATGAAGCGGCAAAGGATAGGCTGATGGACGGCTTCAAAATAGGGGAAACAGTGAACACGTGTAGAAAGTTGGTAAATGACGAATTGGTGGTGTCTTTTCTAAATTTGCCTGTCTATATCACAGTTGAGAAAATCTTGGAAAAGATCCATGGCTGGGGCGTGGAAGCCATGACAAAGATCAAGGGAAGAATGTGGCCAGAGACTCAGATAGCAGACGGAACAAGATTTCTCAGGGTGAGATTTACTGATGCTGTGCAGTCTCGGCCGTATTAAACTTGGCAGAATAGGGCAAACGGTTATCAATTTTTCCGAGTCATCCATGACAGGCAAATCAAAGTTTGCAGAATGTGTTTGCAGCTGGGACATATAGTCCGAGGGTGCCCAGACTTCAATTGTCACAAATGTAGGGAGCATGGACATTATGCCAGGGAGTGCACACAGGGAGGAAGAAAGTGCGCAGTTTGCTGCAACTTGTTGTATAAATGTGTGTGTGTGAATGGTAGTGAGAGTGAGGAGGATGAGCGGGGCTCCATGAATGAAGATTCATTAAGTGAACTGGGAAAGGATGCACAAAAGGAGGGATCAGATGTGGGTGCAGGCATAGAATATGCCATTGAAAATAACACTAACCAGGCTTCGGAGGTAGGGGACGCTCGAAAAATGGGCGCAACCCACAATCCGATGAGGGGAGCTGGAGAAATGGGCTCTACCTTAGAGGAGAAAGACCACGCTGAGGAGCTGGCAGAAGGAGGGGCTCAGGCTCCATCTGGGAACAACTCAGAAAAAGACGGGGAAAAGAAAATAGAGATGATGACAACAAGTCTGCCTACAAATGATGGGTCCACCCTCCCTGAGAACAAGGATAAGGAAAACTAGACCTGAGCCGGAAAATGAGCCCCTCCTTATGAGAGAAGAAATCTCGCCTGAAAACCCGCCCTCAGACCTACCCAGTTCAGAATCAGAAATGGAGTGCCAGCTCACTCAGGTGAGAAAGAGTCAAGACAGAGAGGACACTGCAGAGGTCTAAAAAGAAAAACTAGAACAAAACCAGAGGACATTTTCTTCCTCCCTATGCTCATGAAGGAGGATATCATGTGTTTACAAGAGACTAAGTGGGATGATGAATTAATAAATATTATTAATTGACGATGGAATGGGAAATTGTTTTACAATAATAGCGTCACTAGAACACGTGGGGTAGCGATATTCTTTAAAAATAATAGTTTGTCCCTGTAGATTTCTTTAAAGTCACTCACCAATTTAGGAAGGGTACTGATCATGGATATCAAATACATAGACATTCATCTTTCTAATAATTTGATTTATGTACCCATTAATCCTACTGAAAGAAAGACACTATTTGAAAGTATAAATAAATGTATTAATAATAATACAATAGTGGTAGGGGATTTGAATGTGGCAATCTCGAGGCAGGATGTCTCGGCTGTGAACATGTTCAGAACGGATTCTAGTAGAACAGCTTTAATTGAACTAATGAGCAAAAGCAATTAGATAGATATCTGGAGAATACTTGATAAAAATACAATACATTTTTCTAGAAAAAGTGTAGTAGATGGTATTTTAACCTGAAATGATTTATGTTTAGTTAACAAGGAAATAGTTCAACTTAAATATATAGACTATAGAAATACGCATTTTAGTTGCCATGACTACATAATACATTTAGACTAAATTTGGACACCCTCTAAAATTGAGAGGATGTCCTTAATGCCAAGAACAAAAACTTCTGGTGCTTGTCTTTTTACCCTAGTTTTTGCAACAGCTTTCGGATATCCTTCACTAGGGAACAACTTCTGAACATCAGGGAAACAAATCCGTAGGAGTTGTTTCCCTGATGTTCCCTGATGTTTTCGACCATTCTGCCGATTTATTGTTTTTTTTCCACCAGAGGTGCCCTCGCCCTTGCAGCGAAACGTTGGAGGAGGGGGAAACGTGCCGGTGCGCTTGTGCTACTTCGTCAGCGCGGTCACTGCACACACCTGTCGGGCATATTCCTCTCCAATGTGCATTCACTGCCCAACAAAATTGATGAACTCCAGCTGCCGATGGGGAAACGCCGAGACTGCGCCACATCTGCAGTTTTGTTTTACGGAGACGTGGTTATATGGATCGATACCGGACTCTGCACTGCAGCTGGCAGGCTTCCAACTCTTCAGAGCGGATCGTAACACGGAACTCTCCGGCAAGACTAAAGGTGGTGGAATCTGCTTTTACACCAACAGTGGCTGGTGTAACGATGTGACAGTGATTCAACAGCACTGCTCTCTTGATCTGGAAACTTTTTTCATTAACTGCAAACCCTTCTACTCGCCCCGTGAGTTCGCCTCATTCATTCTGGTCGGTGTTTACATCCCACCGCAGGCCAATGTGCAGGACGCACAGCGCACGCTCGCCGACCAGATACTGCGTGTGGAGCGGACATACCCGGACTCTTTAGTTATTGTCCTCGGCGACTTTAACAAAGGTAACCTCACACACGAACTCCCAAAATACAGACAGCTTATAAAATGTCCGACCAGAGAGGAGAATATTCTGGATCACTGTTACACCCCTATCACCAACGCTTATCATGCCGTCCCCCGGGCTGCATTGGGCCACTCTGACCACGTAATGGTCCATCTGATTCCTGCATACAGACAGAAACTCAAACTCTGTAAACCGGCTGTGAGGACATCAAAGCAGTGGAGCAGTGAGGCTGTGGAGGATCTTCAGGCGTGTTTGGAGACTACTGACTGGGATGTTTTCAGGACTGCCACCACCAGTCTGGATGAATACACAGAGGCTGTGACTTCATATATCAGTTTCTGCGAGGACTGCTGCATACCATCACGCACCAGGGTGAGCTACAACAACGACAAACCCTGGTTCAGTCCAAAACTCAGACAGCTGAGGCTGCAGAAGGAAGAGGCATTTAGGAGCGGGGACAGGGACAGGTATAAGGAGTCAAAGTACAGGTTTAGTAAGGCGGTGAGGGACGCTAAACGGCTGTACGCTGAGAATCTCAAACAACAGCTCTCAGCCAACGACTCTGCATCTGTCTGGAAGGGGCTCAGACAGATCACCAACTACAAACCTGAACCCCCCCCCACTCTGTCAACGACCTGCGTCTGGCAAACGAGCTGAACGACTTCTACTGCAGATTTGAAAGACAATGGGACAGTCCTAACACCAACACCATCCCCTACTACCACCAGCCCCTGCCCACCTGCATCCCCACCCCCACCTCAGCGGGGGCCTGCCCTCACCCCAAACCTCCCACATTGAAGGACCCCCCTCCGTCAACTACCATGACACTCTCCATCCAGGAGAGGGACGTATCCAGTCTATTAAGAAAAAAAAAAAACGCAAAGCAGCTGGACCCGACTATCTTTCCTAGCATCCTGAAGCACTACACAGACCAGCTGTCTCCTGTGACATCTTCAACACCTCGCTGGAGACATGCCATGTGCCTCCCTGCTTCAAAACCTCCACCATCATCCCCATCCCCAAAAAGACAAGGATTTCAGGCCTCAATGACTACAGACCTGTCGCCCTGACCTCCGTGGTGATGAAGGTATTTGAGCGCCTTGTCCTTCACTTCACTTTATTTTGGTAAATTGTCCACATTAAACACAAGAAACAACAAAAGAAAAAAGAAAATAACAATAGACAAACCCACAGTTTACCAAAAAAGGAATAGGCCGAAGCAAAGCTTATTCTTGCCTACCCTATTTTTTTTACCTTACAACCAGGATTTCTACAAATTCAGATTGCATAGTACATAGTACAAATATAGATCTACTTAAGAACGTAAGATTTTATCATATTACATTTTAAAGCTCTTTTAAAGTTCACCAAGAAAGGACATAACTTAAATTCATCATTTAATTCATTCCACAGTTTCACACCAATAACTGAAACACATCTAGACTTTATCTGACTTTTTTCTTTTGCACATTCAAACATAAACAAACCTCGCAAATTATATTTATTTTCTCTTAACTTAAATAATTTTTGAATACCAGAAGGAAGACTTCTATTCAATGCTTTATACATTATTTCCAGTATTTTTATATAAACAATATCTTTAAATTTTAATATTTTACTTTGAATAAAGAGTTTATCAGTTGGTTCACGGTAACCCACCTTATTTATAACCCTTATAGCTTTTTTTTGCAACTTAACTAATATATCAATAGTTGTTTTATTTGCCTTTCCCCAGATTTCTGAACAATAAGACAAATAAGGCATAACCAAAGAGGAATATATAACATGCAAGCCTTTAACATTTATTAAGTCTTTTATTTTAAACAGTATTCCAATAGTTTTTGCAACTTTATTTCTAATATATCCTATGTGAGGCTTCCAACTAAGTTTATTATCTATAATAATCCCTAAAAATTTTGTCTCATAAACTCTTTCGATTTCAACTCCATTTATGCATAACTTTACATTATTATAGTTCCGATTGCCAGAGAAAACCATGAATTTAGTTTTTCCTTCATTTAACGATAACTTATTGTAATCAAACCATGTTTTCAACTCAGCTAACTCTTTTTCTACTGTTTTTATAATTTCATCCATATTTTTTCCAGAAAAAAAGAAATTTGTATCGTCTGCAAACATTATAGACTTTAACAGACTGGATACTGCAAAAATATCATTTAGATAAAGTATAAATAATTTAGGTCCTAGGACTGAGCCTTGAGGAAGACCACATTTTACCATGTCTATCCGTGACTTAGTGTTGTTAATTTGTACATATTGTAATCTATTACCCAAATAACTCTTTAACCACTGATATGCAACTCCCCGTAAGCCATACAGTTCACATTTACCCAATAGTCTTGCATAGGTCAATAAACACACCTACGGTATTAAGCTTCTGATCAACTGCTGCTGCAATGTGCTCCACAAACTCCATCACAGCTAAAGTTGTGGAGCAGTTGTGCCTGAAGCCGTACTGGTGCTCGTTCAATATTATTGAGAAAGGAATCCAGTCTTTTCAAACAATTAACAAGTGGAAAGGTGTGCAACTATATGAATCTCACCAGCTACATCAACTGAAAGTACATCAACATTGGTTGAATATCAAAGTACAAAACTTCAACATTTGCTTGGATGTTGAGTTATATTTCAGATATTCAATAGATTTCACTTAAATGCAGGACAGATCCACACACTCCCTCCTAGCCAGCGGCCATCTTTGTATCTTGGTCTAAGACAACAGCTGCACCTCCAGCCACCAGTCTGTCAAGTTCCTGAAGTTTGCGGATTACACAACCCTCATCGGAGTCTCACATCTCACATGGGGACGAGTCCGCCTACAGGTGGGAGATCGACCGTCTGGTGTCCTGGTGTGCAGTCAACAACTGGGAGCTCAATGCGCTCAAGACAGTGGAAATGGTTGTACACTTCAGAGAGAACACAGCTACCATCACTACCACCTACTCCCAGCACTTTGTGTGGCTCCACAATTGCTTCTGTGGAGTCCTTCTGTTTCCTGGGGATCACTATAACCCAAGACCTCAAATGGGAGCTGAACATCAGCTCCCTCACAAAGAAAGCACAGCAGAGGATGTTCTTCCTGCGGCAGCTGAAGAAGTTCAACCTGCCTAAGGCAATGATGGTGCACTTCTATACAGCCATCATTGAGTCCATCCTCACCTCCTCCATCTCCATCTGGCACGCTGCTGCCACTGCTAAGGACAAGGGCAGACTGCAGCATATCATTCGCTCAGCCGAGAAGGTGATTGGCTGCGATCTGCCATCCCTTCAGGACCTGTACGCCTCCAGGACTTTAAGGCGTTAAGGAAAGATCATGTCAGATCCTTCTCACCCTGGTCACAAACTTTTTGAAACTCTCTCCTCTGGCAGAAGGTTGAGGACCATCAGGACCAAAACCTCACGCCATAAAGACCGTTTCTATCCAGCAGCAACTGGCCTCATCGACAAGGCCAGCGACCCCTACCTATCCCCCCCCCCCCCCTCTACCTCACTAATTTACCCAATGCATTTTCTGGTCCGTCGTTGCAGATCAACATTGCACATTTCAATTGTTCATTTGTACATTCGGATCTATATTTTTAAAGATTGTTCATTTGTACATTCGGATCTATATTTTTAAAGATTGTACTTTTCAGTTTTATAATTTCTGTCCTATATTTTTATTTCTACATTTTATTTCTTGCTTCTCATAGAAGTGTTGTGTTGTGCACCAAACACCAAGGCAAATTCCTTGTAAGTCTAAAAACCTACTTGGCACTAAACCTTATTCTGATTCTGATTCAACAATAGCCTACAAGACGACTTGTGCTTTATAAAATTAATGAACAACTATTTAATATTGTAGAAGAGATATATTTAATAGAAAACCACATAGTGGTGGTAGGGAGTTAAGAATAGAATAAAAAAGAAAATTAATTGAATTGTATGACTAAAAGATAGTTAGAAAATTTAAGAGAAATTGGATAATAACCCATGACATAATGAAAATAGATTAATAATATTATTAGAAGAACTAAATAAAATAGAAAAGATCAAATGAAAAGGAGCATGGGTCAGGGCAAAAGTGAAAGACTCGTGGGAGGGAGAACTCTTAAAAACCTACATAGTCGAAACGGATACCTCTTTAATCTAGATTTCGAGAAGGCCTTTGATCCTGCTTGTTGCTAACTGACTGGCTGTGTCGATTTGTGAGGCAGGGCTGTCCTCTCTCCTCCCTGTTATTCACATTAGCTGTAGAGCCTTTAGCCATTCTAATTTACGGAGATAACAACATCCGAGGCGCTCTCACCCCGGGGGGAAGCAGTTAAGGGTCCTCCAGTATGCCGATGACACCTCCCTGTTCGCGGCGGACGAAGAGAGCCTTTATCGCTGACTTCGGTAGGTCGAGACCCTTTGTCGGGCTACTGGGGGATATCTTAACCTGGCCAAATGAAGCTTGCTGTGCTGTGGGTCGGCGGCCTCTCCGCCGCAGCTTCCCGCAATTCAAATCATCAACGAATCGTTCAAATTCCCAGGAGTTTATCTGGGAGAGGACGAGCATGTTGCGGTGGAGAGGTCGCGTGATGCAGTGATGCTTTAACCTGGGGAAGATGAGAGACCTCGGACACCAAGGGAGAGCAGTTGTGGCCAACTCCCTGGCACTGATGCAGATGTACCACACTTTGCATGTCCATGCCTTGACCCGGAGCGTACTGACAGCTCTTAACAACACCATAGCTGTATTCATGTGCAGAGGAGGAAGAACCGTGGTGGCACACAATACTCTAATTAGTGACTATAGAAACGAAAGATTAAAACTGGTCGGCATTAACACTAAAAGTTTAGCATTTAGACTACAACTGTTCACAAAATACTTCGATAACATGCTTGGCATGAGCGGTCAGTGCACTTCTTTCAGAGGGCATGGATGGTGGAACCTGTGTCAGGCCCTGCCGGTTTCAAGTCTCTGTCACCTTAGGCTTTTTAATCCAGCCCGCCGAACTTGTCCAAATTATAATAAGAACCCATGGATATTTAAAAACGTGCTTCATTTCCCTTTTCCCCTGCAATACCCTTGTTTCCCCAATAAATGGCGCACTAGTTTAGACACACTGAACTTTGTTAGAGTGTAACTTTCCTGTTGCGATTTCCCCCCTTTGGTAAAAATGAGCAGCCCAAAGAAAAGAAAGGTGGAATATCAGCCGTCACTTTGCCCCAAGCAAGCAGTCAACACAAGAAAGGGCGGCTACTGCTCAGAGGTTGGCAGCTAATTTACAGACCCAGCAGAATTTTTTTTACCGACAAATTGCGATTCAAGACTCAAGTACCAAGGCAAGTTTTTTGCTGGCATTCAAGTTATCAAAGGCTAGCATGCCTTACTCCAAAGGAGAGTCTTTGAAAGAATGCACGGTAGAGACTAGGCTTGTCCCGATCCAATACTCGGATTGGCCGCCGATATTCGAAAAAAAAGATGTATCGGCAGGCATGTGAAAATGCCAATCCAGACACCCGATACAGTTCTTAAAAGTCTGATCCCACATGAGCATTAGCATCTCTTAACCCACAGGTCTGTGTCCTAACCATTAAGTTGTTGTCAGACTCATGTTGAACAGGGATTTACTCTTATAACAAAGTAAGTATGGTAAATAACTTTAAACTTGAATACATGCTCTGATAGGCCGGTATCGGCTCGGAAGTGCAAATACAGTATCGGATCGGATCTGAAGTGCAAAAAGCTTGATCTGGACATCCCTGTAGAGACAGCATATCTCTTGTGTCCGGAAAGCAGGAAGGGGAAAGGTAACAGCGAGGCAGTGAGTCCAAGGGATGCATGAAGTCTGTAATTGTGTATGTGTAAGTGTAAGCAAGCTGGAGTCCACATCCAGGCTAGATGGAATTTGTCCTTGTGATGCCCATACTCCTGCTTGGGAGGAGGGGTGGGGTGGGGTGGGCAAAGCGTCCGTCTGCAGTTTCATCCAGGGCAAAGTTGAAGAGTAGCAGCTGCAAGGCCGCTCTCGGGAGGCCAGATTGAGATAAGGCAGACAAAACACGCTCTGTCTGGAACAAAGCTATCTCTCTTAAGTCCTCAGCAGGTCTCTCAATGGCGATCCAATTCAGCCGAAGTGTGTTAATTTCCCTCCATCCGAACCACCAACTTTTCCACGGTGTTCTCCATCACCCTCATGCTGTCACACATCGTCCCCATTTTGCTCACAAGAGCATCATGTTTGCGAGACAACTGCACAGCATGCTGCAGTCAACCGGAGACATTGGAACATATCTTTACATCATGTACTTACTCAGAAAAATTCAGGAACAGCCTGTGGTGTCTTCTAGAACAAAATTGTTATTCAAATCTCAAGGACAACAATAAATGTGCACGGAAAAAAATCCTGCTCTTCTATAATATTTAAATAGTTGTTCAGTAGTTTTATATAACACGTGTCATCTAGTAGACTATTATTGAAACACGAAAGAATGTTTTTTTTTATATATATATTAATAGCATTCTCTAAATGTATTCTTGTATAATCATGGTCACTAAAATGTGTATTATCAAAGTCTATATATTGTAAATGTTTAACCATTTCCTAATTAAGTAAACATACATCTATTCGGCATGGTGTTAAAATCCAATTTACTTTACATCTTCTGGAAAAAGTTATTTTATTTGTATTAACTATTCTCCAGATATCTATCAAATTATTTTACTTATTAGATCAACCAAAGCTGTTCTACTATATTTGCAGCCGAGACATCCCATCTCGAGAGTGCCACATTCATATTCCCTATTAATATTTTATTATAATTAATATATTAATTTTTACTTTCAAATCATTTCAGTAATATATTTGGGTGAATAGACATTATTCTAATAATTAGGTTTTCGTATCTTACAGATATAATCAGTATTCTTCCTTGTTGTCTTAATTTCTGTAAAGTTACCCACTAAATCATTATTTTTTAATAATGTTGCTACCCCACATGTTTTATTGATTCCATTATTGTAGTATAGTTTTCCATTCCATAGTTTATTCATTTCATTTATTAATTAATTTCCCCCCTTAGTCTCTTGTAAACATATTATATCCTCCTTTCTTTTTTAAAAATAGTTCCCCAACTTTCCTTTACTCCTCGTCCCTGCTACATTTAAGGACAGAATAGTAAACAGAGAGGAAGAAAATGTGAAGTCTCACTGTTCAGTTCTCATTTCCCATTCGTTTTTCTTTTTAGACCTTTGCAGTGTCCTCTCTTGCTTAACTCTTTCTCACTTGAGAAACTCACTTGAGTACTCCATCTCTGATTCTGAACTGGGTGGGTCTGAGACAGGGTTTTCAGGCGAGATTTCTTCTCCCATAAGGAGGGGCTCACTTTCTGGCTCAGGCGTAGTTTTCCTCATCCCTGCCTTTACAGAAGGTGGACCCATTGTTTCTGCACCAGTTGAAGGTGGACCTGCTTTTGTTGTATCCATTTCTTTAGCGCTGCCTTTTTCTGAGATGGCCTCAGATGGAGCCTGGGCCCCTCCTTTTGCCAGCTCCTCAGCTTGGTCTTTCCCCTCCAAGGTAGAGCCCATTTTTCCAGCTCCCCTCGTCAGATTGTGGGTTGCACCCATTTTTCGAGTGCCCCCAACCTCCGAAGCCTGGTCAGTGTTTCTCTACATGGTAGATACCACGCCTACACCCACATCTGATTTTTCCTCTTGTCCAGCCCTTCCAAGTTCATTTAAGGAATCATTCACTGGGCACAGCTCGTCCTCCTCACTCTTACTACCATTCACACACACCTATTTAAGACATTGCACCAAACTCCACATTTCCGCCCTCTCTGTGTACACTCTCTGGCATAGTGTCCATGTTCCCCACATTTATGGCAATTAAAGTCTGGGCACTCTCCAAAAATGTGTCCCGGCTGCAAACACATTCTACAATCTCTAATCTGTCTGTCATGGATTATCCTGAAAAATATATACCCTGTGG